CCTCTCATGAGTAGGTTATAACGATCTCCCTGCTGGTGTGGAGTCATGGTGGGCAGCAAGTCACTTGCTGGGGGAAGCAGCATGAACCACAGATCCCGAACCCGGACTCATGGCTTGACGCTGCGGAACACAAATCCCATTATCCAAATGCCTCCAAAGCCCCAAGCTCCATTGAGAAATTAAACCAAAAATTGTCTCCCAACCAAAAAATTCTGTAGAATCAGGGCAAAGGCCATTCAGAAACTACCTCACAGAAATTCTTTCCCAACTCAGGCCCCATTTAGAACCTTCAAATGACCATTACAATTACATAGGAGCTCACCAACAAAAATTATATTAATAAAATACCTGAGGAACTTCATAGCAGGAAAGAGAACCACAGATAAAATGAACAGGAGGAACTTGAAAGAGTACCACAATCTGAAAAGCCACATATTAGTACTTTGAAATGCTCAAATAGATAAGGAAGGGACAGAATATATTACTATAAATCAGGGACAGAAATTATAAACCATGAACAGCAGACGTTCGAAAAGAAGAGTACTATTTCTTTCCACACTTTTTGTTAGAACAAGCCAGCTGAAACCTGTAAGTATTTAACTTGAATGAAAATGTGTAGCAGCCCTTTTTTTTTATGAGGTACATGTTCAGTTAGGGTTTTGGTCAGGACAGTAGAGCTACTCTGAGGGATATGGAGAAAGGATTATTGTAGGATAAACCTTACACAGGTGTGGAAGCTGGTGAGTGAACGTGGAAGGTTTTGCATCTGACAGTTGGCCTGAATCCGGAATAGAAGCCAAATATAAAAGCAGAGAGAACTAGGGCAAGTGAATCTCCACAAGGATAAACTAAAACCAACGAGAACAAACTAGAAGCCACTCGGTTTCTCATTGCTGGCAACCTCAAAAATGTGAGTGACCTGCCAAAAGTTGTCTCTCTTCATCACGAAACTGCAACACATAACTGACCCAGGGACTCAGAAACTGCATGAAGAGACCCTTCTCCAAACTCCTCATCTAGTCGCCAGCGGATTTCGCTTGCTTCTACCTTGAAGAATTTCCATTGCTAATTCCACTGCCACTTCCCTAACCCAAGCCACAACACTTCTCACTATATTGATTGTCCTAGTCTCCTGTCTGGCCTTCCTACATCCAATTTTGCCACCTTAGTCTATTCTGCAGACTATAGCCAACTAACGTGTCAAACGTTATAACGCGTTAAAATCATGTAACTCTCCCTGTTCAAACCCTCCAATAGTTTCCATTCAGCTCATAAACCCCTACATGATCTGCCCTGGCTCCCCTCTCTTTCTCTCTTACGCTCTTTCTCCCAAGCCACAGCCCCAACCACATTTTCACCCAGAGCCTTTCCCTCCCCATTTCTGCTGCCTGACTTCTCTTCTCCGGGCACGCAATGGCTCTCTCGCTCACTTCTTCCCTGTACATCACTTTCAGAGAGTTTTTTCGGGCCCAATATATCGAAAGTACGCGTCCAGTCCCTCCCTATCTCCCTTTCTGGCTTCATGTTTTTTTCATACTACTTATCTCCACCTATCTCTTTGTTTATTGTGAGTCTCCTCTGTAAGAATGTAAACTCAAGAAAGTGCAGGTGTTATTTACCACTATAGTGCCAAGCCTAGAACAGTTCTGGTTCACAGTATAATATATATGGGATATTCTTGAATAAATACTTGAATTAATTTTATACAGAGTATAAAAAATAACTGAGAAGCTAATTCATTTATGAAGCCAGTATAACTATAATATCAAAACTGGAGAAGGAGGCATAAGAAAACTAAGGTCAAACTCACTTTTTAAAAAAAATGATGTAAATTAACCTAATTGCATGCAATCCCATCCAAAATCCAAGTTAGATTTTGTAGAAATTAACAAGCTGATTGTAAAATTTAGATGAATTCAAAAGGACCATAGAAAAGGCCATAAAATCTTGAAAAGAAGCAACAGAATTTGGAAACCTGAATGTATCGACTTTAAGATTTGCTATGAAGGCACAATTATCAAAGACAGTGAAAGATAATAAAACAAGTAAAACAGTCAAAACAGCACTTTCCAACAGAATTTTCTGAGATGAATGATGTTCTATACATTACACTTTCAAGTAATGATAGTACAATTAGTCAATATAGCTATTGGGGCATTTGAAATGTGGGCTACTGTGACTGAAGAACTGAATGTTTTAAATTAATATTTAATGAACTAAACCCCTCTAATTAAATATCACACATGTAGCATAGCGGCGTACCATATTTTGGCAGTGTAGGATAGAATCCAGAAGCAGATCTACAACATATTTAGAGAAACATTTACAATAAAGATGTCAAAGCATTTCTTATAAAAGGAAAAACTCTTCCAATGAACATGCTGAAAACTGGATTAGTGTATTTTTTTAAAAAAATGAACTCCAACAGCTATCTTCACAACATTAAAATTAATTGAGATGATCATTAGATCTAGAACTTAAAAGTACAAAGGATAGAGGATAACACGAGATATCTTCACAATCTCGGAGAACACAAGATTCTATGAATGTCACAGAAAGAACTACTATAAAAGTACAAATTGATAAATTAAATTCATAAATAAATCTTATATCAATTCAAAGACAGTTAAGAAAAAATGAACACATATGCCACCAGACTTGGGAGAAAATATTTATAACACATATATCTGCTAAAGATTATATGAACATAAATAGACTTCAGTAAAACCAAATTTAAAAAGGAGGTAAAGTCTTGAACATGCATCTCCATAAAAAGATACACAAATACCTAATAAGCACATGAGAAAGTACTCAACAGTATTAGTCATCCAGGGAACCCACAAATTAAGACAATAATATGGGCCATTATGTTACTGCACTAGAAATAGCTAATCTTAAAATCAGAGAATACTGAATATTGCAAGGATCTGGACACTGAAGTCTCATACATGTGGCTGGAGGAGTATAAAATTATAATTATTTGAAACCCTTTTTGTCCGAGCTTAAGAACATATAATTATACATCTATCCTATGACCTAGCAATTCTGCTTCTAGGTATTTCCCAAGAGAAAGGAAAACATGTCCATACAAAGCTTTGTACAAGAGGATTCACTTTATTCCTAATAGCTCAAAGCTGGAAACAGTCCAAGTATCCATCAACAGAATTGATAAATACAGTGTGATATATTCATATAACAGAATACAATTCAGCAATAAGAAGGAACTTCTGATATATACAACTGCATGGACGAATTTCACAAACATTATGCGGAGTAGAAGAAACCACTTACAAAAGAGCACATTTACAGTGACATTTATTTGAAGTTCTAGGACCGGCAAAACTAATCTATGGTGATAGAAATCAGAATAGGAATTGACTTAGGGGATAGAAGGGATTGACTGCAAAGAAGTACCAGGGACTTTTGGAGGTGATGGAATCTTCTTTCATCATAGGGTGTGGGTGGCTTCCATAGGTGTACACATTTTCAAAACTGATTCAGATCAGTAAATTTAAGTTATGCCTCAACTTTTCAAAATTTCTGTTTTATAGAAATTTTTAAACTATGGGAAAAACAAGGACTAAAAATATTATTATATTTTAATTAATTCAAAGAAATTCAAGCAATGTATTAAAAGAATACAATATCTTGACAGAGTAGATTTTATCCAGGAATGCAAAGATGTTCATTATATATTTTGAGAGGAAAAAAATAATCATATCAACTTAATATACACTGCAGAAAAAACATCTTATAACATTCAATACCCACTCATGATGAATTTTTAAAATTTAGCAACTTAATAGAAAAGTATTTCCTAAGCTTAATAAGTTGTATCTCTCAAAACCTACACAACAGCAAAATTAGAAAATATTTTAAACTAAGTGATAATGAAAATATAACAATATAAAATATAACATAAAAACTTGTGGTATGTGGTGAAAGCCATTCATAGAAATATATAGCCTTAAATGTATAAATTAGAAAAGAAGACTAAAAATTAATGATCTAAGGATTCTCAAGAAAGAAAGAAAGAAAATAGCAAGTTAAACACAAAAAAAGTAGAAGGAAGGACATTATAGGAACAGCACACAACTCTATCTCAGAAAGATGTGTTTTCTTTAGTGCAGGCACTCTCTAAGTTTGTTGTGCATCAGAATCATCTGCAGGGCTGGTTAAACTACAAATTGTTGGGCCCATATCTACAGTTTCTGATCCATGTAAACCTCTTGTGGAGGAACTTACTTTTGTATATGGCAAGTCTGATACGCTAATGTGACATGTAAGCAGAGATGCCAAGTGCCTAGTTTAAACATCGGAGCCTGAAGTTCGGGGAATGATTGGAAGCTGGAGATATAAGTTCTGTAGTCATAAGCATACGGATGGATGGTAACTAAGGCTGTAAGACTGGATGAGAGCACCTTGAAAGCAAACATAGAGAAGACTACAGACAGGATAACATTGCCTATTTCATAAGGCTGGCGCGCGGGTTAAAAATATTTATTACAATGCCTGCCTCCACATCCCTCAGCCATTGTACAGAGGAGCCAGGGGAGCTCCCCAGCCTAATGCGTCGTGCAGCGGCTGAGATCAGGGTCCCATCACCCCACACACACACACACCTGCCCAAGAGAAAGCGATAGTGAAGTTCCTGCTCGCAGCTCTCATCCCTTTCATTAACCTCGGGTCAGCTTTCGGAACTCGCAGATGCTCAACAGGTGCGCACCTGGCTACTGCAGTCTGCCCTAGTGCCCAAACGGTGGTGCTATGCTCGCCTCCAGGCCGCCCGGGCCCCTCGGCTGCACCTTCTCCCACCGGGTGCAGAGAGGGCGCGCGCGAGGCACCCGGCGCTCAGGACCTGCCGGAGCTAGCGAGGGGGCGGAGCCAGGCACGGGGCGGGGACAGGCGCGAGGTGGGGCGGGGCCGGACGCGGGGCGGGGCCGGACGCGGGGCGGGGCCGGGCACAGAATGGGGCGGGGCCTGGCGCGGAATGGGGCGGGGCGGGGCCGACCGCCGAGAGCCTAGCGGCCGCAGTCTAAGCACAGCGCAGGGGAGCGAGGGTGTCTCAAGGCTCCTCGGACCCGCACGAGGCAGCCAGAGGCGGGCCCGTTACCGGCCGGCTTCTCGCACAGAGCCGGCGGCCGGGAAGGGAGCGCGCCCGAGCACCATGATCCCTCTGGAGAAGCCGGGCAACGGCGGCTCCTCCCCGGCCACCGCCGCTGGCTCGGGCCCGGCCGGCCGGGGTCCGAACACGCCGCGCCGGCCGCCGCCGCCCCAGGCCCGCGGGCTGCTGACGGAGATCCGCGCCGCCGTGCGCACCGAGCCCTTCCAGGACGGCTACAGCCTGTGCCCGGGCCGGGAGCTGGGCAGGTGAGGACCGGCGGGGTCCGGGCGCGGATAGGTGCTGGGCCGGTCGGCGTGGCTGGTGCCGATAACGGCGTCGTGACTGGGCACAGCATCGGGTGCTGGCGGCGATTAGGCAGCCGAGCGGCACCAGCGCCCCTCCGGTGCCGCGGCGAGTCCTTTTAACTAGATAGCCTGTGGGGGCAGTCGCCGCGGCGCGTACGAGAGAGCAGGGGTTCGCGTCGTCGGCTTGCCGGGAGCCTCGCCGCCCTCCTCTGCCCGCGCGTCCCACGTCGGTGGTGGTGTAGACGGTGGTTAACGAGAGGAGTGTGCGAACCGCGCTCGCGGGTTTCCCTGTGGTAGCAAGGCTGAAAACCAGAAGTTTATGGAGTCAGCCGCGTTTGTGCCCTTAAACGCTTTTGGCTTTCTCGGGCTCCTTATGTGGCTTTAATAAAAAAAAAAAAAAGTAACATCAGAGTGACAGCTTCCTTTGCTCGGGTGCTGTGTTAACTTCTGTCAGCCTTCTGCTGCGGACTTGATCATTCTAGTTTTCCTGGTTGGTTTTATGCTGTTTTACTTTTAAAATATTTAGGTCCCCGTGGCTCAATTTTAGATTGGTTTCATTCATAGGCTCTTGGCCCTATTCTCACTCTTTTTACTCTGCTGTGAGCTGGCTCTTGCCTTCTCCCCACCCTACCCTTTTTCTGCGGGAGTAAGAAGGGTTTACAGCTTGATCTCTTTTTAAGTTGTAAGAGCTGAAGGCTGTTTGGATGCTTTACATTTTGTATGCTGACGAGGAGTGATACAGTGATTTTTTTTTATGGGTTTTAGTGACTCTCTTCCTTGACAACAGTTTGAAGAAATTGTCAAATGCGCTGGCTTTGGGGGGTCACACTCGAGTTCATATCTTTACCCTGCTGGCCTGTTTGCCTGTGGGTGGGTTACTTAGACTTCCCAGCCTCACTTTTCTCATCCATGAAACTATAAATGACAGTACCCACCTCATAGAGGTGTCGTGCAGATGCCATGCCTGTAAAGCACACACCACTGGGCCTGCCACTTAGTGTTCAATAAATGTTAACTATTATTGCAAACATTTGTCGTGGTTGCAAAATAGCACCATGTTGTAATGGGAAAGGTCCCAACTGATGTGACAGCTTTCATTTGGGGTCTTGGAAAAGGCATTGTTACAAACAATGTTAAAGGCGCACTGCCTTAAAAATATTAAGGTAACTTTTGGAAATAGGTTTGTTTGGTTTTTTGGTTGGGGGAGGGGTGTCATACCTTAAAAATGTCTTACTTATTACAAATGTTAACAAGGAAAAACACCTTTTCGGGAACAAGATTTACTTCACTGCTAGGCGCTAATTGACTGGATCTGTGTGTACTTTAATTATGACAAAAGAAGAGAAGGGAGGTACTGACTCAGCTAGATATTCTAATTTGTTGAAATTCCAAACATTCTGAACTAACCCTGGTTACTTGAAAAGGTAAACAAAGTTTTCCATTATTTGTTTGAGTTGTCTGGCTTCATTCCACAAAGGGAAAACTAGTACAGGTATTACAAAACTGAACTGTCTTCAGGTGGCAAGCACTGTCTTGTAGACTTTATAATGAATGATTTAATCTGAAAACTGATTTGCACCCCACCAATTGTTGTGATACTAATTCCTCCAAGATTGTTTCTTTCAACTTTATTTTAAGCTCTATTATGAAATTAGCTTGCCTATAAGGTTTTTCCTTAAGGTTGTGATATCTTCTACATGCCTTTTCCTATATAAAGTTCTTTTAAAAGGAATAGATCCTGAAGCTGCAGGACAATGCAGTCATTAGATACTTGCTGTAAAAAGCCTGGAACTGAAAAATAAAATTAATCTATTTTTTTTTTGGTACCCTTTTTCATTATGGAGGCATTTAATGCAGTGATTAGCAACATGGGCTTTGGAGTCAATCTGAGATTGAATCTTGGCTCTTACTGGTTGTTTTTGTTTTTAAACATGTTTGACAGAAAAATAGCTCTTACCTTGCCAAGTCCACATGCTTAGTAGATGGTACAGCCAACATTTGAGTTCATTAGCAGCACCTCATTCAACTGAGTGTTTATTGAATATGTGTCCCTGTTGGCTCTGGACTAGGCACAGGGCCCCTGGCAGTCCTTACCCTCAGGGAGTTCACAGTCTAATGGGGTAATGATGCTTTCTCTCCTCCAGTTGAGATTTGGCCCGTTTTCAATATGAGTTGCCTCCTCACCCAACCCTTCACCGGGCTCCTGAGTACGATATGGTCCATTGAAAAACAATAAGGAAGCAAAGTGCTACAGGAAAAGGGGACAGCAGCAATTGGCTCTGCTGGAGGGGAAGGATGGACAGGAACTAATTCATCTGGAGACAGAATTTGAGCACGTATAAAGTTGGGAAGAATAATTTAGATTTATCAGCAAGAGAGAACATGTTGTTTTTCCTGAAACAGCAAGCAGAGAAGGCACTAGAAGTGACTCAATCAGCCTAAGAACTTCATATCTGTAAAGCTGGGAGAGCACAGCTACAGAGAGGTGTTTTGATTTTGTTTTTATGCCTGGAACCTCTAATTGAGTTAGCGTTAAAACTTGTACAAATTAGAATTAACTTGTTCAAATAATTGGGCAAATATATGTGCACAAGAACTTGTATGTCTTGCCATTTGATTCAAGAGACCATATATTATGAGATTTTTTTTTTCCTTACACAGTTATGCAATCCCTATTACTTTTTTAATGCAATAAAAATTGGGTCATGACTTTTAGCTTGTCTTGACTTTTATATTTGTCCATAAAAAGAGCTTCTTCTTTTCTTTCAACTTCTTTCTTTTAGTAGGAAAAACTGAATGACAATATGAGGTAACTCTTTTTCTAAGATTGTGGTAGATCACATAAAACGGCCTTAATTCTTCAGCACTCCCTGAGCCACACTTTTTACCCTGTAAAAAGGTGGGGGACATTCTGACCCACCCACTGAATGTCATGCAAACTGATGCATATAAAGTACTTGCATGACCGAGCTGGGCCTCTCTCTCTTGCTGCTGTGCTAACACCATGAAGGGAACATGCTTGGGGTAAGAGAGGGATGAGAGGTGAAAGCTAAGGTCACGCTAGATCAGCCAACAACAAGCTGACTCCTAGGTACTTAAGGAACCAGCCAAGTTCATTAGCCAACTCCTGCTGATCCCAAAGATGTCACACTAAAAAGTGCATGGCAATGTACGAAGGATATTTGTGATTGTTGTCCATTATTGTGGCAATAGATAACTGATTCAAAGACCATTAGGCCTCCTTTCCTTTCTAGGGTAATTTTGAAAACAAGCACTGAAAGTTTGCTCTCAGCCTTCTGAGAGCATACACTATGTAGTGGTAGCTGCTGTTTAGTTATAATAATATGATACTGGAAGAGAGATACAATATGGCTACATATTTAAAATAATTTGGTAATATGTATCAAAAATTTAAAAATATCAATGGCCAGTTTGTGGTTCAAAATTGCATCTTGCTGGTGGTTCCAGAGGAGGTGTTTCATTCCTGTACTAAACTATTCTTAGATGACTCTGAGAGGCCAAGCAGGAGGATCCTCAAGGTCAGGAATTCAAAACCAGCCTGAGCAAGAGCGAGACTCCATCTCACTAAAAAAAAGAAAAGAAATTAATTGGCCAACTAAAAAATATATAGAAAAATTAGCAGGCATGGTGGTGCATGCCTGTAGTCCCACTTACCCAGGAGCTGAGGCAGAAGATCGCTTGAGCCAGGAGTTTGAGGTTGCTGTGAGCTAGGCTGATGCAGGCACTCTAGCCCAGGCAACAGATAAGACTCTGTCTCAAAAAAAAAAAAAAAAAAAAAAATGTATTCATAGTGTTTCATTGAGCTCTACTTGTGCTATATGTTTAGACTGGGGTTGCTCAGTAAACAAAGATAATAAGTAAATAATATAGTGTGAAGGTGATAATGTGTCTATGGGAGAAAAACACAGAGAAAAGCAAGTAGAAGGTATTTGATTAAAGGGGCTAAATATAAAAATTTTATGGAATGTGCAGTGAAGATGATGTTTGGACAAATCTAAAAAGATGAGGAAGTGAACCTGAAGACTATTCTGGTCGGGAAAGGTGTCCGCAAAGCCAACAGCCAAAATGCCCGGGGTGAAATGTAGTGTTCTGATTGTTCGTATGCGTGGCTGTGTTCCGTACTTTTTCAAGGTCCAAGAGGCTGAGGGAAGGCAACACCCCCCAGTTCTCAGGGTGGATGCTTATCCGTCTCTGCGCAGTCGAGGCTGTGGCCTCACCTGCCCACCAGGTGTAGCCTGGTGTGCCCGGTGTAAACAACAGTTGGAGCGGGGGCAGACACACAACACACACACACTGTTCCTTGGCACACGCGTAATTTCACTCACTGAAGGGACAATAATTTATCCTATGAAATACACACAGACAGGAAAAATTCGCACCCTGGAAAATTGAAAGATTATCCTGAAACCGTTGATACAGGGCACCAACTGAATCCTTTTAAAATTTCTACTGGCTACCCTAGACACCACGCCGGTAGCAAACCAGTCACGCCCCTCAAGAAAAGAACCGACCGACCAGAGAAGAAAGCTGATGACGAATAAATAAATGAAAACAAGGACAGTGCAGCCGCTCTGTCAATGATGTCGAACTGAGCCAACCTAAGAACCAGCCACCTCATGCTTGAAGTGTATAACCCGGCTAAAGGATTTTTGTTTAGCTATATACACTAGTGGAGCCTAGAAAAACGGAAATAAAAAGCACCGGCCTCAGTCCAAGTGGCGTAGAGTTTAGTCAAAGACATTGAGCACACGGGTTTTTCACTTTGTGTCGGATTGAGCCTCAGTCTCCGCGTAGCAAGACTAGACAGAACTCTTGCTTGAACTGAACTGGGGACAGATGCTGACCTCTCATGGAAGCTAGGGTTTATAACGTCTTCCCCTGCTGGTTGGTGGGAGTCAGCGTGGGCAGCAAGTACTTGGCTGGGGGGAAGGCAGCGCATG